CACATATTTCGTTCCGGATACAAATGAAGAGATACCAGCTCCAATAGACTATTTCAACAAACTCTTCTCGACCAGACTAACCTGTATAGTACACAACTAACAGCTATTCATTTTCAATTTTTCTTTTTTAGTTGTTTTAGGGATTTCAAATCATTTTATTTAGTAGACAATGGAAGTCCGAACTAATGAAATTTATAATGAAACTTTAAATAAAAAAATTTTTTTCAGTCATCAAGGAGCAAGATGAATTCTGATTTGAAAATAATAGTTCCTCAATATGAATTACAAGTGGTAGAAAATATTTGTTAATTAACAAATCCGTTTTCAGGCAATGCATCAAATAAACAACGCATTTTGGATAACAATTTTTCAAACAAAAGCAGATACCAATTTTCAAAAATCATTTTCATGTTGCTTATGAATATGAAAAAAACGGATCAATGGTAATATTTGAATTTTTTTTTTTTTCGATGAATAGTGGAGCTTTTTAATTTTTAACCAAAATCAATTGTTGACAACGAATTGAAAAATGACAATATTTTATTTTTCCAACGGGAATCCATTCTGAGACGTTTTTAAAATAGCTCCAGAAGAAGAAGGAACATTTCAGAATCGTTATTCAACAATTATCGCACTCTAAATGTTCCTGCAGAAAAATCTGTTAATTAACTAATAATAATATCATTTATTGCCAAACAGGTAACACTCACAGGACATAATTGAATAGGTACATCATTACTGATAATAGATAAAATAAATTAACAAATCATGTTCATTCTTGACATGCTACCTATATGAATATAACATAACAATGTATGGAAAACAAAAGAAAGAAAACTAAAACAAAAAAAAACTGATAGTATGACTATTCATTGCGATACTTGGTAAGAGTGGTTATAATAACTGAATTTCTCACAACACAAAAAAGAAAAAATAGTTTTGATATCACTTTAAGATTTCCATTGCAACTTTTTTATATGATTCGCCGAGCAAGTATTAATATCGTAAAAGCTGCATACTGAGTTATAGTTTTCACGCATATATTTAATTGGAGAATGCGATATTATGTTTGTTCGTGCTGCAGAGCAGTAAAATGTGAGATTTAGTCGTGACTGAGCTCTTGGCATCCTAAAGTTCAGTTCTGACAGGAGCAAATGGCTGTCTACTTGGCTGTGCAGTAGTTTATGCAAAAAGGTTATTGAAGAACATCTTCTCCTTTTTTCTAAAGAAATTAATTGAAAGTGATTGAGAAGACTATAGTGGTCAGAACCCCTAGCTGGATAAATTCCAGTGTTTTTGAAGTACAAGAATTTCAAAAATTTTCTTTGAACTTTTTCAATTGAGTACTCATGACAGAAATAGTAGGGGCTCCAAATAATTGAGCAGTATTCAAGCTTGGATCTGACATATGAGAAATATAATATCTTCAAGGCGTTTATGTTTGTGA